CAGTAAGCCAACATCCTGAACCTTTCTCTTTGATGAACTGGAGAGATCTCTTTAGGTTGGGATCTCTTACACTGTCCTCTATTGATTTGCTAACCGTAAATAAGTGTTTCTCCTTGATTGCCTTGAGACTTTTTATAATGTCATTTTGAATTGACAGTTTAAATGTAACTTTTTACATTACTATACTTTTCATTACTTATATGTTAAAATAATAATTTTTAGCAACTTGGGTGTGAACAAATTTATTAAATGCATTTCTATATTTGAACTTTATTGGATCTCTTAATGTTTAATTCTTTCTTATATTATATTTTATTCGAAACATTCCCAAAAACATTATTCATTACAAAACATTACATTTGGCATCGAGAGGTTGGTGTTTGAGACCCGGCCGTGCCATCAATCCTTGGGAGCCTTTAATTCAGGGTATTTTATGAAATTGTCTGGGTATCCGTCAGGGTATGAATTAGCTACACAAAACTGCTTGAGAGAGTGCTTAAATTTGATGGTTTGTATGTACAAGATCCAAAATATATCAGTTAAATTGAGCAAAATTTTAATAATAATAATAATAATAATAGGATTATGGCCACATGGCCATCTCGACAAAACTTGAAACCCAACTGCACTCTACGCTATTGCAGTTCGCACAATATTATCAAAAAGAAAAATGTTCCTTGAAAGTGGATCGGTTTTAATCAGAGACGATCACCCAATTGAAGCTTACACCCTGTGTTGTGCTGTGACAACTCCCATATTTTGGGCCTTCTGTTCCAATTGCAATGGTTGCTTGTTCAAAGGAGTTTTTATTCGGAAGATTTATAATGGTTTGAATCCTGATTAAAACAAGCCCAAGGGTTGCGCTAAGAACTTTCATCAGCGGAATGATCAGGACTTCCGTCGCGTGGTCGAGCGTTAAATGAGGAGAGAACCTGCCAAAAGATCTTTTGTCTTAGTACACAAGAAATCAAGAAAACAACAAATTCAAGAAAACAACAAATTTTTATTTAAATCAATTATAGCAACAATTTGAAAAACTTTAAAGCTCTTCTATTACCATGGAATATACTACGGGTATGGTGACTTGGGCTATTGAGTTGTTAAGTAGATTAAGATTAGTAAACCTGCACTTGATTGTATTTTTTATAAAAACTAGAAATTAGGCTTCACGGTAAAATGGAGAAGCAGGCTGATCTTGGAGAGAGCAGACCGTAAAGTTTACGCACCCACCAGGGCTACCTACCTATCAATAGTACTGACTACTACTATCTTACTGTGTGTTGGTTCTCTCTTCATTTGATGATACAGTAGAACAAAGTTATCAATAAAAATATAGATAAAAGCTGTGTGAGAACTTAAAATTTCTGCCATTACAGGAATGTATAAAGTCAATCATGTACAGCAAACAAATAGTATCAGATGTATTTTGATATGTACATAATCTTTGCCAGCACTCGACTCCAATGACTAATATCCCCTTTCAAGCTGCATTTTATATCAAGAAAACAACAATTTCAAGAAAACAACAATTTTATTTAGTATCAATTAAAGCAAACATAAATATATTTTATATATAACTAGCAGGACCTTTATACCAGATATCTTAGGGGACTTGGAGTAGCAAGAGAATGGATAGAAGGTACTGCACGTTTTGCTCTAGAAACACACTTTTAGAGATTTTATCGGCGTATCCTCTAAAATCACCTAAGTTGTTCAATTTTAGGGAGGGATGCTTTTCCGGGGAGGGGGCGCCAACAGGCAACGTTATGCCACTGCTTTCAAGCCCGTACATTCCTTGCCCCCTCAGTTTCTGTCCTTTCACAATCCAATTAGCAGTCAAGGACAAAAAGTCTTGTTTGCTTAGTCTGAAAGGAAATTAAAATTAATAATGAAAATAATTGATTAGACCAGTTCTTACTCCTTTATAGAATAAACTTGATTTAATCTAATTCGTGAACATGTGACAGAAAGTATAATAATTCACATATTACGTAATCAATATTTTTGCTATTTTTACCCCTCTCCCCCCCCACCCCCCGTAGTCAACCGTAATCAAAACCCACCACCCCCTCCTGACAGCAAAATTACGTAATCATGGCCTGACCCCCCCGCCCCACCGGCCCCCTTTTTGACTTTTTTCCCTGAAAAACACATTCCTCTACATTTCATTAGAATTAGAATTAGAATCAAATACACAGCAATACAATAAAAATAGTAAATAATTTAGAGATGCTTCGATCTGCTGTGCAGGACATTCAAATCAGTCAAAAACTACAGTCATGCTACGGGCTACCCTGATCATTATGAGCCGAAATCATTGTTATGATATCCAGCCAAGCACCTTCCAAACTTCCAAACTAATTACTTTTGCAGCCGGATACCCGATCCATTCCTAAATTTTATCACTATCAGCGTGAAATTGAGTGGAATTTGAATTAAAAAATATTGTCAATGTTATTATCCTAGAGGGTAAAAAAGAAAATTTTGATTACGTAATCAACAACCAACTCCCCCCCCCTCCCCCTGTAATCAACCGTAATCATTTGGGAACCCCCTCCCCCCTCGGCTGATTACGTATTATGTGAACGATCCCTAAACCAGTTTAAAAGTCAATTGCGAAATATCTTTCTCAACATATTAAGACAAGCGAAATGTTGCGAGCAAACGAATTTCCTAACAAAAAATCACTTTTGGATTGTACAAACAAAATGGATTATATCAAGGTCATGGTACTCACTGAAGAATCTCCCTTCCCCTTTCCTCCTACACTAAATTATTTTACAGTGTCTATTGTGTTTATCCAAATTCTAGAATAGTCTCTGTGATAATATGATCTTTAAACGTTGTCCCCTGCAATGGCATTTGTGTAGGAGGAAAGGAGGAGGAAAATTTTGATTAACAATAATAATGAGTTAAAATAATGTTAAAATGATCCACTTTAAAAAGAGATTATTTTTTCAGAAAATTCGTTTACTCACTTATTTCGATTGTCTTAATATGTTTAGATAGAAATCTTGCAATTGACTTTTAAACTGGTAAGAGATAACAATTTGTTAATTTTAGAGTTGCACTGTTGACAAACCATGATTCTGTACAACTCTATGAAAATGAATGATCTATTTAAAGATATGCGATACAGCTGTTGCTTACAGCTTGAAATTTTACACAATTTCTAGAATGCAACTGTTTCAACAGTATAGCATTACAAATATAACAATACTGCTCAAAATGTAAATTAAGACACCAAATAAAAACCCTTAATATCTTGTTCTGTTCAGCAGGATCGGAGTAGCATTTAAAAGCTGATTTTGAATTTCAAACGTGACAGATATAATGGCTTTAACTTTCAAAACACAGCTGAGTGCAGACCGCCTTGTCTCACTTTTTTTACTGTAAGTGCAAAATGTGCTCTTCTCACGACATGTGTTTGGAATGTCGTAGCATTCTGCATATCTGAGATCTGCACACTTGTTACCCAAGTGTTAATAGAAAGCAGGAACCACAAGGGAGGATTAGATAGCCTGGTGGTGAAGATGCAGCCACAAGGGAGGATTAGATAGCCTGGTGGTGAAGATGCAGCCATGACTTGACATCATTACAAGGTAAGTCGCACCCGCAGGACGTGCGCTAGTCGCACAGTCTTGACCACATGGTGCCGCCGAGAAGAATTGTGTAGACAGCACATGGTTTACCTTTTAAGAATCTTGTCTTTCAGCGGTATTCTGAGACCTCTATCTTTCAAATATTGCTGACCACACCCCCACTGTTTCTAGTGTTTTAAAATTAGTTTTTTCCTGAAAAGGTTTTGAGAAAGGTGACAATTCATGTTTGCCTTTTAATCCAGCAGACTGTGATTTTTGGGAATAACGCCTTTAACTATTTTCAAAATAGCTCGGACTCCTTAACAGCTTTTGGTCTCTTAGGTCATGCATATAAATTACCCTTAAAATTAAATGGAAACCTCAGTTGTTAGTTATATTTGACCACAACTGCTCTTTCTCCTCCTTGACCACCATGTAGCGTGTACGGTGTAGCCCTGAAATCACATGTCGAGGCTGGTACTTACCAGCAACCCAATCATTTACCATGCTAACCTAACACCGTATCAATCTGCTTGCAAGTTTTATTTTTATGGAATTTCGGAAAATTTTAAAAACCTTCTTTTTTTTGTGAACCTCTAAGTCTGACATGCTTGGGAAAAAGCGTCGTTGAGAAGTATCTGTAAAGTATTTGACTTGCTCAGAATTTTTTGGGTACATTATTTCAGTTTCAATTGCAGATTATGACACTAATTTCTAGATGAACTCGGTGCAGTGAGGATAAATAGATTGTAGGATGGTCACCTTTTTGAACTTTTAATCTCGTCATTATGTTGTTAAAAGAATTTATAATACTGTCAACTTTTTGAAAAAATTACTGGCAAATTTAACGGCATTTTTTATGTAACAACTTAATCATTACAATCATCGTCAGATCTACAAAATTTATCATAATCAAATTATAAATATTATATGTGACAGATATCAAAACCTAATGAAAAATCATGTAACATTTATTATTATGATTACTGTAATACAATATACACGCTGAATAGAATAGGAAAGAATACAATACAATCGAATAGAAATTAGATTCTATTTTATATACTGCATATTCCCAGGTAAAATATTGATACTTTAATAATATTGAAATATTATATAATTGATAAGTAGCTTATCGCTACACTGGGTTGTATATCAATTATCAGTACAGTATAACCCCGATAGTAACACACGAACCACACACACGACTAGACACTAGACAGACACTATTACTAGACAGCATGTACCCTCAATCTTGCTATAATATAGCAATCTTGCTATAATATATCGATGACTCTGGCTCCCATTTGGGATCTGGTGTAATGTTACTAAATGTAATATATATCTGCATGTAGCTTGCATTACTTGTCAAGAGATATGCTTATTATTATCACGTCACTAACCACCCTCACCAATCTTAGCTGAAATGTCTGCGAAAATACTCCTCAACTGCCTTATTATTATCATGTCTCTGCAGTGTTCCTTAGCTTTTTGGTGGTAAGTAAGAATATTGAGCATTAACTGCTTACTGCCGCTTATAGATTAAGATTTACAGTACGTTATAAATACTCGTACAAGAAGTTTTCTATCATCAAGTTATTAATGCAATTCTGCGCTAATCTAATATAAACTGTTGATCAGTGAAACTTTTGACTTACAATTTTCTGAAATTTAGCGCATCATCGCAAAGTTACATATTTTTATTTTCAGGTATTTGGGCGAGAAGAATGCCCCGAGTGACTGCCACGATGAAAAGAAATTGAAACTCACCTCAGACCAAAAGAGGGTAAGTTTCGGTGGTGACGTAGATCAGAATGCTAGACATTCCGTTTCCGTGTTAATGAGCACACCTGGACACAGTTCACCTGTCAATAAGCCGGTTAATAACGTTCCTGTTCAGCTGGATTTCACTAATTCATTGGCCTTCATCACCAGCTGACAACTTGATACAGCACTATATTTCTCTCTGCTCTAATATCCACTCACTTACCCTCACTTACCCTCACTTACCCTCTCTTAACCCCTCCCTGTACTACCCTCCGGGTTTTCTTATTCCGTGACATAAACACAATTTACGTTTTTAAGATACAATTTGGGACACAATTACCATGGCAACACTGAACACTGTCAAGTACCAAGTCTGGGAGGCTAGAAGCCAGGAACAATCCCAAAATATAAGTTAAAGTATATCGGTCTGCAGGTATATGGCAGCTAATTTTGTCGTTCCCTTTGAAGGGGATGTTGACCGGCAAAGTTGGTTGACAAACGGGCCGTGTGCTCACAACACCTTCACAACAAGAGCTGTCACGTGATCACAACACGTCAGACACACACTTTTCTGAACATCAGTCCAAGTAAATTAACAGAATTCTGGGGTAATTATAGCAACAGTTATGAGTTATATCTAGCCCAGGACACTGCAATATAGCTGGCCACATTGAGAACTTTCTGAAACGTCGGCACTTTTCAGGACTGCCCCTTGAAACCTTCTTCTCCTGTGAGAGGGGTAAAATTAGCGGACATTGAATTTAGGTTCATACTAACTTCAAATACACCACATGTGTGGCATGATGAGATTAGGGGACATGGTGGGGGCAGTGAGCATGTGAATCAGACCTTATATTCATCTCAAGATTGCAAATTGCAATCTCCCGGCTACGGAGGTTGTCTTCTGATTAATGAGACCAAGCTCTGTTGATTGAGATGACATGCTGGGGTCACGTGACCGGTCCCGTGTTTATCACGTGACTTAGCAACACACCACGTGACTTAGCAACACCTTATGAAGTGGTCCCGATCGATCCATGGAATGTGCTTGAACCAAGTCATGGAATGTTAAACTAATTTAGTAATTTCCTTGACATGGGTGCGCTGCTGTTTGGCAGGGTTCCAGCCTGGACCGCTACGTATCTTATATCCTACGTGGGCGAGATAGTGTCTAGGAATTTAGGCAGGTTTTTAACTGTTTTAAAGATTTTCTAGACAAATAAACGTGAAGAGATCGTCGTTATTCACTTAAAATTTAAAAGGGACTGTCTGGAGACAATAGTTGCATATTAGCCCAGGTACCTGGTATCCAGCAGCTGGTTACACTTGGTTAAACCTTTGTCAAGACATATCAACTCCTCCTCCCTCTCAAATATTTGCTATTAGCCGCATTTCATTGTTATGTGGTCAGCTATTTTAGAGACCCAGTAGCGATTCATTTCATTCTAAATACGTGTGCATTCCAGTCCAACAATCCGACAACAATCTACTTGACTTTCCGTTTGGCTTGTTCGTGCTTGCGAAAGAGGTGATTTCAGGTATCCTTACTTTCATGGAAACCAAAACCGCACACCCCGTCGACGGTGACTGGAAATTAAATTAACCCAAATATCCTTATTAAGTTTAATTCATCCCGGCAGGAGTGTGGAGAGAAGAAGTTTATCAAGGCACTGGGTCGAGGTCTGAATCGGGGTATCCAGCAGTGCGGGGAGGAGTTCTCTAAAAAGCGCTGGAATTGTCACACCAGCAAGGAGTATCCTAACTTATTCGGAAACATTGTCAATAAAGGTAAGGTCATTGCTCCATTTAGCTGAACTTGGTTCTGAACCTACGTTGATTATTATCGCCGACTTCGTAAACAGAAATTCCTTTGTTATCCTAGAACAATAACCAATTTACGGGAACATACGTTTTTGGTGGTATTCCTGTTTTGGTCGGATATAAAGCTAATTGAATATAGAGCTGGTGCGCGTCAGGTTTCGCAGTTTAGCTGTATTGCACAAGTATGCCGACACTTGACGTGGGCAACACCTATAATTAATGATATATTGTAATAATATGTGATATTGTAATAAGTTAGAGGAAGGAGCTAGAGAGGGTGAATACTCCATTTGTAGCAACTCAATTTGGGGGAGTGCCTCTTGTTAATGGTTAAGCAGTAGTTTAAGTAGCTTCTAACTAAACTGTTTTCTGAGTTGAGGGGCTACGTGCCAGGCGGGGTCATATCAACAGGGTAACACGTGATGTCACGTGACTTTCTGCTAACCGTACACGTGACGTCACGTGACTTTCTGCTAACCGTACACGCGACTCCTCTTCTATTTCCTTCTTATTGGTTACTAAGTGCGATACTAAGTGCAATGATTGCTTGACCCATGAATATGATTATCCCTGCCACCTGTGTCCCCCAATAACCAATGTCTAGTCCCCCTGACCCCCTAGTCCCCCTAGTCGTGTCTTAATATTACTGATCCAAGTCTAACTAATCCCATGTTGTACAACTTTAGATTTATTATGTGCAGGGCGGATTCCTCTAACCCTATTAACTACACAATAGTCAATACAGTTGTAAGATAAGCAGATAATTCACTCGATTGGTGTACAATACCTATGTTTAACGGATGGCGGTGGCTCTATGTTCACCACACAATACCAAATGTTTATATAATCCACCCCACAGTAACATGGTGAAGTAGCCACAACTTGCCTCATCCCATTGTACTGCTTAACCACAATCTGGGCGATGTGGTGCTACTTTTTAGCTGCAGCTACTTACTTACTTACTACTGTTGTTCTTCACTAATAGGTCAAAGTAGGGGTTAGTGTTACTATAATGTTAGACACATACTACTAATCTACTTTATAAACTGAACATGATGAACATTGAGCAGACTGTAGTTTGGTAGTATGTGTCTAACATACAGCGTGATATCTAAACTTAAGTATGACCAAATAGGCCCTGCCCATTCTCTCTCAAATACGACAGGGAAACATGAAAAATAGTCGTTGTTATTCGTTACGGCACACATATTTTCACCTGCGGATGGTTGCTAGGTAACAGCTACTGATAATACACTAATGATGGTTGTAGGAGGAGGAGTATAAATACTTGAGTACTTTGTACTGACGCCTCGTCACACTAATGCTGTTTAACTGTTAACTTTTAAAACACAACTTTTAACTGGTCTGACAGACTGTGGAAGGTTTGCAAGTACTGGGGGGGGGGGGGGGGGGGGGTCTGTTGACTGGATTGATATTGGTGATTATAGCTCTAATAATAATATGTAACAGCTAAGTATCTGCTTTTCTATAATTAGCAGGCTGGTGATATTTCCAATTTTTGGCTCTGCCGTAACTTGGTGAGAAGAAGTCTATTTGGGAGTGTTTGATGTGATTAACATGTATGTGATCTGTGGGGGGACAGTGCACCATTCCATATTGTATTTCATTAGTTCTTACAAATCATAGCTAGCAACTTGTCAGAACATATCAGACATCAATTTTTCGGAAATAATTCGTTTTTTTTGCGGTAAATTTGTATCTTGCCAGTCATCAGCTACTTTTCAATCGAATTCGCTTCTTTCAAAACAATCCGCCAAAGGTTTATTGGATTGGTGTAATTGAATCACGTTATAAGTCGTATTGTTGTCCATTTATATATATAGTTTAGTCCCCTACTGCAATTCGTCCACAATACACATGTGCTCAAGTCTCATTCCCAAAAACTTGTGAGTTTTACCCTCGCCAAATATTTCCTACTCTTAGTTTCAAAGTTTTGGAGTCTGGCCAGGTGGGTTCAGGACAACATTCGGCGGTCAAATCCAGCTATTTCATGTCAGACTGTCTGAGCAAATGTGGACTCATGGTCCTGGGGACACCAAATATTTCAGAATGTCTCTGTAGTTGTCTAGCTCTGTACCATTTTCTTGATCCTTCACCCGATCAAATTGCATGCCTCCAGTCTGCCTAGCCCCATCCATTGGTCATTTCTCAGTCCATCAATACAATAAGATTCCTGTCGGTACTTGCTGTAAACAGAATTTCTGGGGTGCACTTTGCTGAGTTGTAAAAATCTGTAATAACTAATAAAATGTGTAATAACTAATAAAATGTGTAATAACTAATAAAATGTGTAATAACTAATAAAATGTGTAATAACTAATAAAATGTGTAATAACTAATAAAATGTGTAATAACTAATAAAATGTGTAATAACTAATACTGGGTTCCGTATTATAACCATTACATCATATTTAGACCTAACTTACACTTCTGTATGAGAATATCTAACTTCCTTTACACTCATACACAAACTTCCATGTACTTAAATATATTAACATATACTTACATATACTTGCATATATTATATACACATTATACTAACATTAGAGTAGCACCGAATTTAAACAGCCGATAAATTTCCTAGATAATATATGTGGGGAATGTAGCGTGACTTTTCAGTTCTGAAAATTGTTGATTGTGTAGTTATGCATGACATTCTTATATATTGCGCATATTTTGGGGTAATATGTCTGAAATTTCACCTACTTTGTGCTCTCCACCGCATATTCAAGCAGCTTGAAAATTTCGTTTCCGAATTCCAAGTGCTTGAAGCTTGAGAGGTAGAATGACAGAGATCAGAGAGTCGTAGCCGCCCCGCTCAGCTCAAAATAGTTTTGTAAGGTAATTTAGCGGCAACCTCAGAGCTTCTCACTTTTAACTTGATACAAACACTAAAATCCATCAAGTTTTGATTGCTGCACGGCAAAGATAATTTCTGGTATGCAGTGCATTCTTCTTCATAATAACAGCATTGGTGAGCGATGTATTTAGAGTTGTTTTGATAGTAAGAGATCTAGTGCAGCTACCGTCACAGTTTCAATAAGCCTTTGTTCCAAGCGAAAGTAGGCAGTTGCGCAAGAAATATCCCCTTTCTCTAAAATTGTGAACCCTGGTGTCTCCAAAAATTGGCGGAATGTTGTTGGTAGGAGGGAAAAAGTAAATTAGGGTATGGGCGGAGCCAGGAGGCCTGTATCTCTGAGGTGGCGTATTGCTGCGGTTAAAACTTTAAAGTGTAGGGAGGCCTGAAGAGGGAAGCCTGTGGGCCTGTACACAGACAATTAATCTGGTGTCGCTGTACACCCTAACCAATCTCTGATTAAACCGCTTCTCTCTCTTACGGTGAGCGAGGGGACTCAGCCGTCACTCCGCAAGACCCGAATTATCCACGCCACTTTCTTAGGGGGCACTAAATTTACTTTTAATTTCTCTCAAGGTATTTGACACTAAGTGTGTATATTGTCTGGACAGGGGAGTGGCTACACAGAACTTGTATTTCCGCTTATATCTGACAGCCCCGCGCTTTGCAGTGACCGGGTCCGGTAACATCTCCCTTTCACCTGCAACAGGTCACCCTTTACACGATGGGCTCATTTCGTGACGTCATTCTCCCCCCGCTGATGCGGAGCGGAAGAATGTACCTGGAATTTAGCCGAAGCCGCACATTCTCGTAACTTCACCTATTTAATACCACTCTAAGTCTAAAGTAATCCATGCAACCGGCAACCTTGGACATTTAGAGTAATTTGCTGTGCTAGCCGTAACGCGCGTTTACCAAATTATGGCGAAAATGTGCGCATTTGCTAAATTCTGGAGCGCGCGCGACGTGAACCAACGTAAACTGTAACTTAGAGGTGAATTAGCTAGGGCCGGTGGTGACAAATTATCCAAGGTTAAGACGAAAGAGCTAGGCCTCTTTCTCGATTACAGCACCAAATCATCAAATTTGTGGTCGATTGTGCACAAAGAAGTGCGGCATTTGGTTAATCCAGGACGTTGGTGTTCAGAGACATTAGCCTAGATCCATACTCCATTACTCTCTTCTAACAAGTGCGAACCCCTTCTCTTTTTAACCGAGACAAAAGTTTGGCTTCTTTGCCAGCCGAGATATTATTCACTCCCTTTGACACGACGCCAGCAGATTGCAGAGCCTCTGTGACAACCTGAAAGCGATTATTACGGCTATGGTTATTGCTTCTCGAGGTAACTGCTTATCAGCGACTGATTTGGCAGTCTGTTCTACTAAAATCCCGCCTCCAGCCTTCACAATCAGACTAAACAATCATACTTTCAACTAAGGAGGGGTCTGATAGACATACGATATCTGGGATAAAGGATGATCTTAGATCTATGTAGTAACGAATTTGTTAGTCTTACATAATACGTATGACACTGATATGGAGCCTTATATTGGAGAGATGATATCCTTGTTTACAGTTTAGAGTTACCGACGCGGAACTGTTCCTTGAAGTCCCGATACGATCCCACAAAGAGTACCGACAGAGAACAGTTCATTATTCATTCACCCAACAAACCTATTATCAATATTATGTCACTATTAAAAGAGTTACCATCTCACAGGTTTCCCGACATTTACAAGCCCTTTACCGACACACTTTTTACCGGGTTTACCGACAATCAAATGTTTCAGATCTGAGTGAGACTGGGTTTATCTACGCCTTGATGTCTGCTAGCGCGATGGTGGGCGTAGTGGACGCCTGTTCTGATGGTGATATCTACATGTGTGGGTGTAGGGAGATGAATGATGTGCCGGATCCGCAGCCAGACTGGACTTGGGGCGGCTGTTCTGATGCAGTCGACAATGGTGGGTTTTAAACTCTGTAATACCTGCTCTAATCGACTGTGCCATAATCTGATTTACTGTCGGTTGTTGTGGGAGAATTTCAGATGTAAAGTTTAAACATCAATCTAACCATTAATCTATTTGTATTGTGATGATTGATATGCCCAATATTGTTTAGGCGTGGCTGCAGTTAATAACCTTTTAAAATTAAAGATCTCCCACCACATTTCAGTTGTTATAGACAAAACAAAGAGGTTTGTAGACAGCCCGCACCAAGCCAACTCCATGCCAGACAGAATAAAGCGGCACAACAACCGAGCAGGGACCCTGGTAATCCTACTTGTTGCTTGTTTACTCGTTTCCATGGGTCTAATGACGATATCACAGATTATCACTTATCTTGGAAGTCGGTTAACCGTGACGTTGGGAAATAACTTTTAACTGCTTCACCGTTCGGGGAGCCGTTAAGGGTTTTATCTATTGATTTTGAATTGGTGTTTTGAAAAAGGGTAATAAGATTACCCGTGTTTCAGGCTGTGCGAGATAACATGGAGACGATATGTAAGTGTCAGGGACTCTCCGGTTCGTGTACCGTAAAAACCTGTTACCAGAGGATACCGACCATGACAACCATAGGTGCTAACTTGGTAACCAAGTACAAGTACGCCACTAGAGTGCTGGACACTAGACGTGATGACACGTGGGTACTGTACGATCTACACGGAATACAGCCGCGCCAGAGTGAGCTTATTTACATGGAGTCCACCAACCCGGATCAGTTTTGTTTACCGAATGAAGCAGTCGGCAGTATCGGCACTCAGGGACGCATTTGCAGCGTCACATCCCTGGAGTCAGACGCGTGCAACAATTTGTGTTGCGACCGCTCTTACCTAGACTCCCAGAAAGACGTGAACTATGACTGTAAATGCAAATTCGTATACGACAGTCTAGCAATGAGGTGTGAGCGGTGTCGGAAGACTGTTGTAGAAACAAGATGTACGTAAAATTAGTCTCAGCTCGTTCCAGCGAGCTTATCACTTCTGTTTCTTATTGTTGGAGTTACTTGTTACTAGTTATTTGCGCCTCTGTGTGCCCTAGCGGCCTCTAAGCATTGCTCTCATGAAGTTCAATCCGCAGTGCATTCTCAGCCTCAAGTTCCAGAACTTTTGAACCTGTTTATGTGGTTCGATTGAAAAACGAACAAAGAATTAAAGACTCAGAATTATATTAACCGATGTTTTTATATATTTTACTAAATTGTGTGCGATAACTGATGGACAAAGAGTGAATTGTGTTAAACCTCAGTTCAGCTAGTCGTGCTGTGAGACAACATTTTTTATTTCACCCGCCCTACTTGCTCTGGCTCTTGCTGTTTTCTGCAAAGCTAATCCTGGGCCCAAGAGGGACCTAATCAAGTTGACTAATGTGGCAAAGTGCCAATGCCCCATAAATTGAGCAGACACTTTTTATGTTTTCAGTTGTTAAACCGGGAAAGCTTGTCACATTTGTTTCTTCAATGCATTGAATCCTCAAGTGTGCTCTGTGTTAGCATGCATTTTGCAGCACTTCTAGATTTTATGGGATTTTTAACGGACGTTACAGAATATAGAGGGTGTGATGGCCGAGGATCCAACAGTTTTAGAAAAGTGTCTCAGTAAAACCCGAAATAACCCCCTGATATTAATATATCTGTTTCTGTTTCCAAAGGGGCACTCACGGGGCAGCCTTGCTTAGTTGTGCAGGATACGCGCCAGTAATTTTATTTCCCTTCTGCGGTAGGTTATTGAATGGGGAAACCGCCGATCATATGACCGAGACGGGGTGTTTTATTGGGCTATCGTTATTGAGGGAGGAATACACTGGTGGCTGGAAAGGAGCTGGCTTTTTGATAGGCTGGGAAACGTCCGTTAAAACGTCTGACAGATTGCCCCGTGAGAATTATAGGGTTAGAGTTAGCTTGTGAAATGATTTCCCTCATCGACAGATATGCTGATAATGATATGGAGGCGATCTTTAGCGCCAACACCAGAGATGTGAATGACTAAATGACATATTTGTACCAATTGAGTACACATTTTTCTCTTCGAAATTGTCGATCGGTTATCATTTCCCGCTCAGAACTGTTTATGTAATTGTTATTAGAATTTTGATGAGAATTTTTATCATTATTATAGCTGGCAGCAAAACGCCTGAAATCTGACATAAATGGATATTGATGGAGCGGAATAATCATAATTAGATATTGTCTGGAATTAGATATTGTCTGGATTAGATATTGTCTGGATTAGATATTGTCTGGAATTTTGACGCTTTACAGAATGTAGATACAGTGAAACGATTTGCTGATGTAAGATAGGTATTTTCTTGACTAGGAGTCTTACTCCTTATAAAAATACAACAGATTTTTATATGTTTCTCTCCAATATTGATATCTGAAAGGTACCCTAAAGTTATGATTATTTGAATTACTAAGATTATGATCTCAGATTTTAATCCCGCGGATTCAAAGTTTCGCTATTCATCTAGGCAGTGCTTTAATTTTTATTATATTTGATGGTTAATATTATATTATTAATAATAATAATGCGGCATTACTCCGTTGTGATGCTGTTTAGAAATTGAAATAATATCGGCATTTTAGTGGCTGAAACTGAGCACGAATTGCATTTTGATATGAACCGATCTTACGTTGTAATTACACCGATTTGTAACTTTGATATTTGAAATTAAACGTTTATGGATATTATACATTTATATTACATTTCAAATATTTGAACCAAACTTTACGCTGCTGAACACCATTGTTACTGTATACCAAGATATCAATTTCCACTCTGTAAAATCTTGTGTTACTTTTCGATTAAAATGTGTCTACTGCCTAGTGACATGAATTTCGATCAATCAATAGAAAATTTGATGAACGATGAAGTAGCGACGATGCATGAAGTCCTCAGGTATTATAAACATAATGAAAATCACCACAAATGCGAGATTAATTCGCGTGGGATTCGCAAAATCTGGAAATAAATCCTTAATTTCATCTTTAGTGTTTATGTTTTACGAGTAAGCCATTACAGATAGGCATGGGCATATATACACTGTACACTGGATAGAGCGTAGACTGTAAAAAAGATTTGCTTTGTCAACTATAATAGCCGACATTGCGTTGTCCGACTATTCACTTATATTTCATATTCGCAACATCAAACATGATAATCGGTCTAACTCGGTCTACCAAAGTACAATGAACAATCATCGTTAAGAAGTTAGGGGGGAGGGTCCGGATCCCCCTTTGTTCAGGAGTTTGATATGATTATGATATTCATTGTTCTAATTTTTATATACCGTTTGCTTCATGTTCAAGCGTCATATCAAGCATCAGTCGGTTGATATATATCTAGCTACAACAAGGTTAAGGACCGGAGGGCCCATAAGCCATCTTACTATATATAAAGCGAGACGATATATATATATATATCTGTGCCATTTTACTGACACCACGGCATCAACTTTAACGCGACTTTCCGCAAAAACCGTAAAAGATATACAACTTGAACTTTTTTGGCTGGGTCAAATGCTTTAATGGCCTTCAAATCAGCATGAAAAAATAAAAAATTGGCCAAGGAATAATGATTTTAGAGCCGAAAATTTGGACCCCCAAGTGGTGTCAAAAACGCCAATTAAATAGGTAATAATCATTTTAGTATTTTGAGTCTTGACACCGTTTAGGGTTATATTATACGGGTTCCTGCTAGTGCATATAATGTGCAAACTGCAAACATTTCTGCTTAAATATTTATTTATTCTAGCCATTTTCCATGTCAAGAATTTTGTTACATAATCCTCGAAAAAATATTGAATATGTCTCCGCAAACTTAATTGAAAATTCGATTGATGCAACAATTGAATTTTCAATTAAGTTTGCAGACATAAAGACTCAACGGTACTTGATAACCTGATTCCACGTATGAGGGGACAAGCCTTAATATCTCGATCATCTCTCCAGGAGAAATGTTAATATGTATAATAATGTAATATGATCTGAATAACCAACCACAATGCTATAATAATATAATTTGACTCGATCCAAATATTTGACGGATGGTACTCGTCTAAATTTCTTCGAAGTAGCGCGCGATGCTTTCTTCACTATAGCAATCAAGTCTAAAAAGGGTAAAATTATGAAGCAACTGTATACATTTTATATTATAATAATAAGTGGGCTCCAAATAACATGTCATTTTAGTTGCGCGCGCGTCCCAGCACCAATATATTAGAGAATCAGGTTCGATAAAAATCTACTTTCGAATCGAGCGCTCAATGTCTCGAACAAGATAGAGCTTCATTTAGAAAATTATTGCGCTTCGCTATTTTGCTTATTATACGTGTATGTTTACTGTTTAGTTGTAGCCATAAGCTTGTAGCTATTTATTGCACTAAAGTTCTGTCGTCTTTTTTTATTTTTTTCAAAGGACCAAGCTGACTTATTCATATCTATTTTGACGGCATAGCAATTAGCAACTAAACTAATTACAACACTACAAATCTATTACATTTATTGAGGTGGAATGACCAGTGATGACGTCAGGCACATCGGCAGAAGCAAGGAGACACAGATTACTCCTGCAGCAGCATCTAACCCTCTACTCATCGTCCCTAAGTTGCTCCCTCTCTCACTCATTCTAGCCCTTGCAACATTCAATGTTCGTGGGCTGAGCAAAGAAGTAGACCAACATATATTAGGACGTGACTGTACTCAATATAAATTAGACGTTATAGCCCTTCAAGAAACTAAGATCACTCAGCCATTTGAAGCAATGTTACCCTGTGGCAATAAGTTGATTATCATTGAACAAAAGGATGCCTGTTATGCAGGTCTGGGGTTTGTGGTATCAAAGCGGCTAGTACCGTGCATTGTTCAATATCATCGTGTCAGTGACCGTGTTGCGTGGATAGATTTCAGATTGCCTGTAAAGCACGGTGAACCCGTCATGTTTAGAGCCGTCAATGTGTACTGCCCCACTAACACCAAATCAGAACTCAGACCAGAAATTGTCAGGAAAGTGTACAAGCAAGTCAGTTCAGCTATTGTCATTCCTTCAAGATACGAGCTGTTTGTGATGGGAGATTTCAACGGTAGGCTGGGTAAGCTTGATGACTCAGATTATGTAAATGGTGTGTCAGATTATGTCGGCAGGCACGGTATGGGTAAAAGGAACCATAACGGTCACTACCTTCTCAACTTCATGTGTAGAAACGACCTGTTTGCTGCTAATACTGCCTTCCTTCACCGTGCGAGTCATCGGACCACTTACGAGGGTTTGGTTAATGTCAAAGGTCAGTCTGGTAAAAAGCGTAAAGTGTTTACTCAGATAGATTATATTCTTTGTAAAAGAAGAAGTAAATGTCTGCTCAGAGATGCTAGGTCGCACAACGGTATGGTGTTTAGTTCTGACCACAGGCTTGTAATATGTAAGATTGAATTGTCTAAACGCCCCTTGTTCTACGCTAAAGCTCCTAAACGTCCTAAAATGTTTGACACTCGCAGGCTCACATCAGACCCCGATTGTAAACGAGCGTATGAACATGACATTGCTAGTAGACTTTCTACTGTAATACCCTCAGGTGATCCCAACAAGGACTTTGCAGTAGTACTTGGTGAAGTTCATAAGTCAGCTGCTGAGACCCTAGGCTACAGGAAGGCTAAGAATAAGTGCTTCTTCTCTAATGACCCTACTGTTGTTGCCCTAGTCGCAGAACGACACAATATACGCCTTGCCCTGGCAAGCACCAACAAGCCCTGTGATAGCTCTGTACTGCGAGGACGGGGAAATAAGCTCGGTAAAGACATCAAAAAGAGACTGAAGGAGCTAGAGTGTGCTAAGGCTGACCAGTTAGCTGAAGAAATTTCATCAACTGACGACACGCGTCAAATGTTCGAAGCTGTGAGATCCTTAGCTAAGACCAAAGAGACAAAGCCTATAGTTGTCCACAATAAGGATGGGTACCCTATTGGTACAGACCTCGCTAAAGCTGAAGTACTCCGTGATTGGTACGAAGAACAGCTGACTGGAGATGAACCTGCCCTCGACCCGTTTGAAGGTCCCCCTTCTCCCCTCGACTGCCCTATCACAGAATATGAGGTAAAAACCGCTGCTAAACGCCTCAAGAACGGCAAAGCCAACGGACCTGACAATACCCCCAATGAGCTCCTCAAATATGGCGGGAGTGCGCTATGTGTCCATTACGCCAAAATCATCAACACCTGCTTTGAAGAGAACCTGTTCCTTGATGCTGTCGGAGAATGTTTCATCACCCCTCTTCAAAAGCCTGGGAAGACTCCTGGTGAACTGAAAAGCCTCAGACCCCTGACATTATGTAACTGTGCTCGTAAGCTGCTATCCCTCATTACACTCAGGAGAATTGAAGCAAAGGTAGACGCTTACACAGGTCCATGGCAAGCTGCCTACAAGCAGAAGAGAAGCTGTGGAGACCTGGTATGGTGTCACCGTATGTTGATCAGCATCGTAAAAGAAAGAGAGTGGTCTTTCCACAAGATGGGCCTAGACATGTCCAGTGCCTTCGATACGATCAGTAGGCAGACTGTGCTCAACCTCCTAGAGGACGCAGGGTGCACAAGAGATGAGATCAGACTAGTGAGATTCCTCCTGAGCAACACCAAGATCAAGGTGCGAGTCAACAACGCTACCTCCCTTGAATTCATCAGCACCAATGGAGGACCCCAAGGTGATAGTGTTTCAGGCCTCTGTTTCACAATCACTCTAGCTGGTGCCTGCTACCACCTGCGTGCCGTGACGCTGCGCCCAACCCCTCCTATAAGCCCTAGTGGCATGCCTGAAGAAGATGCCTACTCTGATGACATCGACTATCTTGGTGAAGACAAAGATGCTCTAGAAGCCCTCCTCCCTATCGCTACTAAGGTGTTCAAAGAGTGGAATCTGAATATTAATGAATCAAAGACAGAGTTTGTACACGTCTACATAGCTGGGAAAGATGAGGTCATGGATGATGGTAAACCCCTTAGAATGAATGAAGAATGGTGCAGTAGCAAGTTATTGGGTTCTCTGCTAGAAAGTAGGAAAGATGTCACCAGAAGAATCATGCTAGCCAATGTAGCATTCCAGAACTTCAAGAAGGTCTGGTGCCAGAGTAAGATCCCCCTACAGAAGAAGCTGAAGGTCTATGAGGCCCAAGTAGTATCTATCCTCATGTATAACTCTAGTTGCTGGGGAATGCCAAAATCGTACTGGGACAAACTACATGCATGTCACCGTAACCACCTCAGAAAGATCATGAACGTCAGCTGGCCACGCAGTATGATGTCCAAAGATACCCTCTACAAACAGAGTAACTCTACCCCTATGTCTGAGCGTGCTGAGTTATCTAGGTGGAAGATGCTAGGACACATACTGAGGAGCGATGAAAGATCACCAGCTCAAGCTGCGCTGTGTTTTGCTGTCGAGATGTGTAGTGAAGTTGGTAGACTCGGGGCTCACAGACGTAACCTCCTACACCACCTGAAGGTTGACCTCTGGAAGCGTTTCATCTTGCTTCAGTCGTATGATGATATTCTTCATTTGAGAGAACTTGCTAGTGACCGTGGTTATTGGAGTAAATTGTTCGACTTTATACTTGAGTACAAGTCAATTTGACTTTTGGGACATATAATCTTACAAAGGATCACATTTCGGTTCTAAATTATTTTAGGATTGTTGACATTTGTAAGATTGACATGTTTGATAATAAGCAATTAGCAAGTTATCGACGATGTGGAGAATGTACATTTCGATTTGGCAATCTTCTTAAAGCGACCATGTTTGGTCACATCATCTTTTCGGGCGATACTTACATTTTTCTTCAGTCCATTTGAATTTGAATTTGTAATCTGGTTAAAACGTACTCTTTGCAGTAATTCTGAATAAAACCATCACCCTAAAGAATCCCCGGATAAAATTAAAACATTTAATTATAACTTTCGATATTATCTGTTATTACTAGAGTAAAATCCAAAATTACTTCGACAAGTCAGGACACAGGAGTATCAGACCATTTTTCGATTTGAAAATGATAAATCACGCAACATTATCTACAGTTTAACTGTGGTAAACGTTGAGTAACTGCAGTACAGTTATGACAGTTCACAATTACGGGCCAATAATTTGAATTTTATGCTGTATCTTGTGCTATCCTACTGTAATTTCAGCTAACAGCAAATGACAGAAAAGAAGGTAAAAGTCGGAGATGTAATAAAAAGTGACGAAAAATTCGACTATGTGGTCTCTCAACTTGGACCAAAGCTCTTGTACAAAATCCAATACGAAAACTTAAAAGAAAACTTTGCTGAACTAGTGCCAGCAGATAAGGTCAAGGATTTGGATGACAATTTCTTCAGACCGAAAGATGCAAACGCCAACTTCGCAAGCGAGGGTGACAAAGTTAAAGCTGAGCTATTTGGGGAGTGGAAAACTGCAACTGTTTTGTGCACTAAATTTGGAGAATGTGAAATTACTTGTTACAAGAAGGGAACGAAGAAATCTTATTTTTCTGAATGGATAACACTGGCTCCCAAAGAAGAGAATGAAAAAACCAAAGAAACTAATTTGTTTATCCCAACTGAAAGTGATAAAGTCGATACCCGAGTACTTTCTCCCGAACCAGGAATTAGAAAATATACAAATTCTGGGGGATTCGAGAAGCTGTCCGAGAAAGTTGATTCTATCATTACATCTGAAAAATGGGACGAGGTAATCTCTAATTTGAACAGCTTTTATATAAAACCACAATGGAGTGGACAGCCTCTCAACGATGATTATAACATTTTCCTTCTCACCTGCAACTTTGATAAGATCTTTGTTGATAGGCTAAAAATCCTTCTCGAATCTTCTGGGCTGACAGTAACAACCTCAGAAGAAGAACTCCACAAATCAAGGGTATTACTGCTCCTTTACACTGACAACGCCTCCTACGACGCCACGCTCATTCGTCTTCTAACCAGAGGTGCTGAACTTGCTAACAGCGGCGAACTTTGTATTAAAGTTTTAGTCCACCCAACATGTTCCGCTTTCAGACAAAACAGAATCCCTGACAACATGGCTTACTCCCTTGCTGACAGTAAGTGGTATAACTGGATCGGTGTGGATTCCCCGGAGGTCAGCTTCACTGAGATGGCTTCACAGATCAAAAGTTACACCGAGAGAAGTGAAGCTGATTTGGTGGAACTCAGTACTGTGTGTGGTATATGGCATTGCAAGGTTGTTGTTAGTGGGGACTTTTGCTCTAATTTCTACGATAACCGATGTATGACACTGTACTTGTACACTGATGATGACGGCAAGGTTCGGGGCCGTACTCCCTCAGGTATCGTACTTGAGGGTGACTTTAACACTGACAGCAGGATCCTTGATATCACTGGTGCATACTGTGGACCGTGGAATCAAGAAAACGAGGGGTGGAAGGAGGAATATTTCCAGATAATGCTGAGGATAAAGGGAGTGTTGGACTATAAAGGCAGCCGATTTGAAGGGCAGATCTGCGAGGTATCATGTGTTGGAGACAAAGTGTACGAGTGTGTGGGTACACTGTCAGCTGACCAAGAAAACGAGGGGGTTTCAGGGTTTTACGAGATAACTGACACCCTCTCCGAGTTAAAAGGGGAGAAGGGACACATGACTATCATCCAGCAGCGAGGCGGGGATCTGTTAGCAGATATCAAGGGACACCACGGTGTAATGTATCCAGGGATATTTGATTCGGCTAGTCGGCGGTTCTGGTTATACGTTCAGAATACTCCCAGCTCCTGTACAACCTACGAGGGAGTGTTTAACGCTGGAAACAGGTCCACTGAGGCTAGTGGCTCTTTCTTCAAGTGTAAAAACGGGGTGACAGTAATTCCCAAGACGAAGTTCTACGCTAAACGTGAGATGGTTGGGGAGACTGTTCAAGTGGACACAATGAACACTGAAATGTTTTTACAGCTTGTAGCTGACGCTCAACAACGGTCCTTGCGCACGTCCGTCATCAACTCATTCACTTACGTTCCCCCGAAACCTGAAGATTTCCCCGTACTAATCGTAGGAGCTGATGAGGATAAGGAAGTCTTGAAAGAACTGAAATATAATCTTCTGAAAGCGGGAGTGGGCCCTATCTCTTGTGATGCAAATGATTTGGATTCTGCCCGAAGTGTTTGCTTCATCCTGTCGGCTCATGTCCGTGATAATACTGACCTCGTTGAAACCGCCAAAAAGATCTCAGTTAAAGACGTCCCATTCTTTATCATAGCAAATGATGCCCGACGAAATATATTCAACGACAAGTTCTGGAAAGATCTGAACCTGAAAGAAACTCTACTAAGTTGTCTTGCTAGACTGAAACAAACAGGCAAAATGACACTAGATCCGAATTCGTTACTCTTCAAAACACTTGTCAAGGAAGTTAAGAGTAACTACAAGCCTCCCGTCTACTTTCTATCGGGAATGTGGTCCGTTAGAACATTCAGTAAAGTTGACTTCAAGAGTGGATACAACGAGGCCGCTGCTGACGCCAGGAAAGGGAAAGTCAAACACCTCACTTTTCCCAAACTTCTCTATATTTTAACTGACGGTGTTTCTGGGAGGGTTGTTGGAATCAATGATTTTGTTTCTTCAAAGCAATTCAAAGGACATGTAAACAATGAAGAAAGCACCTTCACATTTGATAACGAAGATTCTAAATATGAGTTGGTTATTGAGAGAGATGGTCAAACCATGCAGGGAACTTACATCAACAGAGTTCAAAACATCCAAATGGAAATCACCTTGACACTCGAAATAGATGAAATCAGTGGCATATACACGGTAAAAGAGCAGAACCAAATGTTAGGTATTGTAAAAACAGGACAACACTCAGTGGACGTTTACTACAGGAACTACATCCTGCCCGGGGTGTTCTACGGGAGTAGGTTCTACTGCACCATACCCAGGTGTGTCAACAGGAAGCCAGTTCTCAGCACCATGGTCGGGGTTATCCAGAAATCAATGTCAGGATCCAGCCTGATCTGTTTCGAGTACGCTTCCCTGGCCAATACCAGGTGTTTGTCGTACGTGTACGATTATTTGCAGACTCGGTTTCAGAAACTTGATGAAGCCGACAAGATTGGAGTGAGTTGTGAGGCTTATGTGCTGGATTTTATTGAGAGGTACATTGAAGCGTTCAATGATGTGGATTACGTGTCGTATAAAGAGCTGCATACCGAGTCTGTGATAGAAGGACAGGATGCGTTTGAAGCTTATTGTAAGAGCACTCATGATATCATGGGGAAGATTGAGAATTATAGTTTTGTGGGTCGTAGGAAAATGCTGGAAACAAATCTGTCGCATCTCTCAATCTCCCGCTACGAGTTTGATATTAAATACGGGGCTAGAACCAGACGAGAATTCTTCATTATTGACGAGAACTGTTTGTTGAGAGGAACAATGAGTTTAGAAGAGGAAGCTCTGCAGTTCCACTCATCAATATACGATGTTATGATTACCTACAGAAGTACGGATAGTGGTTGGGCGGACCTCCTTCAAATGTACTTGGAGAACAACGAGGTAATATACTTTTAGGAAGTTGTTAATATAACAAATTATTTGTTATGCATCAGTTGAGGTGCTTGTTCTTTATCGGTTATGCTGTTGTTGCACAAGTTTCTTTACTTCTTAAAGCTCATTATTTAAACATATCTACAATATTTTGTGAAATTTAACAACATTTCAGGTGCTGTGCTGGAGGGACCAGCGGATGGAAATCGGAGCTAACTGGAGTTCAGACATCACCTCCGCTATTCGACTAGCTAAATGCGAACTTTGCCTGCTCTCCGAAGAATACCTCAAATCAGAGATGTGCACCAAGGAGATCAGCTTAGCATTCGACTCAGGCAAACTAATAATACCACTTGTCCTGCCCCACACAGACCAGAGCAAGCCACGCCCCCTGGTAAAGTCCACCTACAAGCCCTCCTACCCTCCCCATCAGATTAGCCACGAGACCAGCCAGTCTACTTGGATTGACTTCCGGCCTGCTTCCTCTGACGTGGATCCGGAGAATGTAGGTCAGTTTGAGCTGATGTACCTGGACCCGCTGAAAGTGCTGCTAGATCGTCTCCAGCTCTCCAAAACCAGGTCTAATATCTGTGATATTAACGGTTCCTGGCTTGTTTCTATCACGGATACTGTTGGGAGGAAACTTAAGAGCAAAGTTGCTTTGGAGTATATCAGAAGAGTCCCAAGTGGAGTCCTCCAAGAGGAGTCCGGCAAACCGGTAGCACGGCTGAGTCCTCAGTCGATAGTTTGTGGAACTAGACTTCTACTGTACTTCGTTAATCCTAAGACTTACGACCTTGTTTTGGGCATCAAAGCTATGATGTCTGGCGATAACAGGTACATTAGTATATTGTACAAGGGATAACTTCAACATCTTTTCAACAATCAACCAAAACTGTTGCTATGGTTACCGTAACAGTTTTGATCAGTTACCATTTGAATATATTTATACCTCATCATTGTCGACGAAAGAGCAGCTAGAAATTTGATATCCTGTGTTGACTTATAATTATTATATTACATCAGTTTGTCCACCACAACACATTACAAAATAAGTCATAACTATTTTAACTCATTTATACTGACGTAGGTCGAATGTAATATCACAATCGTTGACACAACATCGTACTACTTTTAACAGCTTGCATGCTAGTGGTCTTGCCATGCTGTACACACTATATTATATATATTTATATATACTGTTCTTGTTTCAGATCGTTCTCAGGAGTTCTACTCGGAGCAGACTGTAGGTCCGTGGTGTACGCGCAGAAAGTCGAGGACAAATTCCGGTCCATTGAGCGAGGAGGTTTCTGTTTTGTAAATACAATCTTTGTGAACATAAAATTTGAAATTTGGAATGAAAGATCGAGAAGTGTAGTAATACTTCTGGATCTATGCCATAATCGGATTGCCATACCTAAGGTTTGTCACAAATACTTGGTGTGTATGGCATAACCAAGTTTCCTCACTATTCAAGCCTTTACTATATTAATGAAGCTAACTACTCAACAGGTTTGGTGTACACAGCGGAGACAGCCTCACCAAACTACGATCTCCTCACCCGACTTCACCCCCAAATCAGCCGCACAGAACTAGACGAACTGTTCACTGCATTCTGTAAGATAGACATTAGTCAGGACTACAGACTGTCCCCGGATGAGATCACGTCCTGTTTGAAGATGATAGGCAGGCCCATGTCTAAACGGCTGGTTTCTGAACAGATTAGGCGGTTTGATGTGAAACAATCGGGGGCGTTGGAGTTTGATGAGTTCGTGCACTTTTTAAGTAAGCAATCCGGGGCGGGAGCTATTACAAGCAAACATGCCAGCAAAGTGTGCTCTGTCATGTAAACATGCCAGCAAAGTGTGCTCTATCATGTAAACATGCCAGCAAAGTGTGCTCTATCATGTAAACATGCCAGCAAAGTGTGCTCTATCATGTAAACATGCCAGCAAAGTGTGCTCTATCATGTAAACATGCCAGCAAAGTGTGCTCTGTCATGTAAACATGCCAGCAAAGTATGCTCTATCATGTAAACTGTAAACGTTGTTATTATCATGTAAACAATGTCTACTAATCATTGTTTGCATCATATGCTTTTAAAACCTGTGAAGATAAGATATTTATCCAATCACGTTCAAGAAAGTATTTTACAGTAAAATATTTGATAATTCATAACTCTTCAAAGTTCATAACCCAGAAATTTTGGCACAACCTTCATCGCTTGGTTTGCTAAGGTTTGTTCGCTTATCATGTAAGCCACTTTACACAGCTATTTTCAATTTTGTAGAAATTGCACTAATGTAATTGTAAGATTTTCCAAAGCCATCTGTCCCCCTATTTTGGCTTACGTTATATGTGAACGATCCCTTATCAACTTAAACACATTTTAACAGACGTATTTCATTCTTTTAAATTTATTCATGTATCAGAGTTTTTTAAATAGATTGGGAAATACATTTTGTAACCATGTACATAGTAAAATCGATATTGTATGTAAAATGTTTAAGTGGCTGTGAAATTTGATCTCTGTGACTTTCCAAATGAATGTGAACCGTTTTTAGGGGTTCGGGTATAAAGAAGGGATCATGCAACTGTATAAAATTAGATTCAGGGATTTTTGTTCCGTCCAAATTAGATGAGAAATAGGAATTTGCATAGTTACAGCATGGTAACGTACATGTGCATACTGCATCAAATGATATTGAAGTGACATTATGATCTGTTTCGTTGTGAATAAGTTGTTTTTTTATGTCACATTATTCGGTTGTTTCTTCTGTTCTGATGGATATTTATCTGTAAAGTGTAAACACTGATTTTGAAATAATAATCACCACCTGGCCGAGAAACCTACTACTACCTACCTTTTGAACCTATTGAACCTACTAACTAGGTTTACTGACTTAACTGACTTAAGTCGGCTTCTTGGTCCGAGCAACTACAATTCCTCGCCACACGTCGCGGTCAAGCATAACAGATCTTATCTCTTCAACACAGGAAAGGCTGGTGTCCTTCTTTAGCATGTCCAGAAACGTAAGGTGGGGCCTCCCCGGTCTCCTGTTTCCATGCTGAGGGTCCCAGAACAGAAGTTGGTTTGCCAGAAGGTCGTCATGCCTGGCTACATGTCCAGCCAGTCTCATTCTTCTGGAGGCTATCATCGCTGATGGCTTGGGGATGTTGCCGTATAAATCACTGTTGTTGATGACTTGTGGCCAACGTATGTTCAAGGCCATCCGGAGCATTCTAGTGTAGCATCCATTGATCCGCTTAGTCATGGATTGGCTTATCGTCCATGCTTCAGAGCCGTACAGGAGTACGGGCTCAACCGTTGCTCGGAAGACACGGATCTTTAAGTCCCTGCGCATTCCAGACTTCCAGGTTGTCTTTAACTGATGACAGGCCCCCCATGCCTTTGCTTTCCTAACATCAAAGTCCTTCTCCGCACTCATTATTCTGCTTCCAAGGTAGACAAAGTCGTCTACTTGCTCTATCTCCTGCCCGCTTGCTGCTTTAATGACGGTAGAGTCAGACTCAGAGAGATTGACTCTGATGTACTTCGTCTTACTCTCGTTGAGGTGAAGTCCAACGGAGTTAGCAGCCAGCTCCACACTGAGGAGAAGATCTTGCGCTTGCTCTGCGGTGTCTGTTGTCAGTGCAAGATCGTCAGCAAAGTCGACATCTGTCATCTTAACTGCTGGGTATCTCCTGCTTCTTCTGGGGTTGACAGTGAAGCCCAGATCTTTGCCTCTAAGTGCTGTTGTCATCACATAGTCAATGACAATCACGAAGAGGTAGGGCGCCAGTGTATCTCCCTGCATAACTCCAGCAAGTATAAGGAAAGCTTCAGTCAGACCATCCTCCGTGATGACTCGTGCCATGGTGTCCTTGTACATAGCATATATCAGCCTAACAATGGGCTCTGGTATCCCATATGCCAGGAGTATCTTCATCAATATACCCCTATGAATGCTATCAAAGGCCTTCTTAAAATCGATGAACAAGAGAAGGGCGGTCAGGTTTTTGTCTCTAGCCCCCTCCAAGATCCTCCTTAGACACAGAATGTGGCTGGTGGTACTGCGTCCCTCCCGAAATCCGTTTTGGTTGATCCTCAGGATTTTCTCCATCGCTGGTTTGATTCTGTTAAGGATCATACGATTCAGGGTCTTACTAACAATGGACGTAAGAGCGATTCCTCTGTAGTTATCCACTTTAGTTAGATTTCCTTTCTTTGGCACAGGCACGATGTTGAGTTGCCGCCATTGATCAGGGATTTTTCCATCAACCAAAGCGCTGTTACAGAACTCTAGAATCAGGTCGTCCATGTCCACTCTTTTGAGAATCTCTGGAGCTATGCCATCATCACCATAGGCCTTACCCTCCTTGATCTGCTTCCTCGCCTCCGCTAACTCCTCCCTGCAAAACAGACCAGTCTCTATATCCTGCTGGGGGTGGATGGTTTGGATAACTATTTCCTGGTCAGGTACAGATGGTGGTTGACCCAGGAGCTTAGTGAAGTGGTCCTTCCAGCTCTTCAATCTCCCCTCTGCACTACCTCCATCAACCAGGCTGCATGGCTTGCTTTTCCTGCCATTTATGTCATTAATAAGGTCCCAACTTTCCTTATTCTTGCACCTGTCAGCAGCATCCTCAGCCCGCCTGATCCGAGAAACAAGAGTCTCCTCCTCAACCTCTTTGTAGCTCACTGCAAGTGCATCCTTACACTCCTTAACTACCTCTCTACTCTCCTCTGTAGGATTCTCATGATATGCGTCTTTGGCCTGAAACAGAGTTCTCCTCCTCTCCGATACCCTAGGATCTTGGGAGGGGTTGTTACGTTGTCTTCTTGGGATGGGCTTCAGCAACTTATGATTGGTTGCTTTCACGGCATTCATAAGCTTTCCGTACTGAATCGTGGGATCGTTCTGCTCACTAGATTCTTCCTCCAGTAGCATAGAGAATCTGTTTTTCACCTCCACAGAATACAAGGCTTGCAACTCCTTATTCTCTTTGAGCAGTCTGTAGTCATATCTTACTACTCTAGGTGCATTCTGGCACTTTCGCAGGCTGAGTTTGACTGAACTAACTACTAGACGGTGGTCCGACCCAAGAGAGTTAAAAGAATTGGAGACAACAGTGTCCTTGACTGAGTTACGCCACTTCTTCCTTATCAGGATGTAATCAATCTGACTCTTGCTCAGTGTTCCGTCAGAGAGATACGTCCATAGTTTACCGGGACGTTTCTGGAATCGGTGGTTAGTTGCCTCAAGGTTTCCCTCCAACAAAGTATCCCTGAGAAGCGATCCGTTTCTGTTGGATACTCGATGCCAGTACCAACCTGAATCCTCCTCATTCAATCTGCTAAGATGGGCGTTAAGATCACCAACAACCATTAGCAGATGATGGGCTGGTACCTCTCCTAGTGCAGATCTTAGTCCCTCGTGAAAGTCCTCTGCCTCTTCATTTGATGCTGCTTCAGTGGGACTGTACACCGTTATTACTGTAAGCCGTGGGTTTCCATCAAAGGATATGAGAAAAATTCGCTTCCCAAACGATTTCATGAGACTCACTGCTTTGTAGGCCTGCTTGGTCAGCATAAACCCAACTCCACCAGTAGCAGCTTGTCGGGTGTTTCTCCAAGCAGGTGTGGTCACCAGGTGCACACCCTTCTCAAAACTCTGGATCTTGATCTCCTCCTCATGCACAATCCGGTGCTCTTGTACCCCTAAAACTGCAACTCTACTCTCAAGAAAGAGCGATGCTAACTCTATCCTCTTATACTGTTCCCTAACAGTACGAACGTTCAGTGTCCCGATGAACGTTTTCCTACTACACGACACAACGCTGCCACTATTACTGCTCTTCTTTTCCGGTTCTGTACTTATCCTGTTGTGTTGTGTTGGGTACGTCAGTACATCATCGCCTGGCCCTCCCAGATTGGGTTTTAAGCCAACCAAGTCATAAAACTGCCGACCCTCCACAAGATTCGTGTTAGGGGCTTTAACCCTAGTGCTGTTTAAATTCATCATAGTTGTTTTTCAAATAGCTAAATGACCCCATGGAGTCCCCTCCATGGTGGCAAATGGTCATTTCCCAAAGCCACGCTACCGGAACATTTGGGTTTGAACCGCAGGAACATCAACTTGAGTTGAACTTTTTATCAGACTTTAACCAATCGAACTGTCTGCTCAGGGTAAATGATGTGGTGAATTCTTCTTCTTCTTCTTCTTCTTCTTCTCCGACACTACCCGAAGGTAGCCACTCCTGTCCCTGAGCTAGGGGGGGCTAGGGTGTCAGCATAAGCTAAACTTTTGCAGGAGCTAGCCCTCTCCCTGACTGCCCGTTACCCCGGGTATGGGGGGTCATCCTTTCCACCAGAGCGTGGTCCAATCATTTGGGTCGTAGTGGAAAGTCAGAGGATATAATGACCAACACCTCCAGCTGATGCTCCGCACCTCTCTTCTTCAGAGGCTAGGAGTTCGAGAGACAACTGACGTTCCTATCTTGTCTCTCCGGGGGTCAGCTATCTACCCGTCGCCCATCCTGATTCTTGCCTGGAGTTCACCACCATCCATCGTCCAGTATCCAGTCTTCACCACGTGGAGGCATCAGGAGGACTTGTTGCAGAGAGGCTAAGGTCGACTTGTTCGACTAAGTACTGACAGGGGGGCACTAGCGGGGTACCTCCGATTCACAGCCCTGGCTTTTATAGTGAGAGCACAGAACTGCTAGTCAGCGGTGATCTTTTTGATCACCTACGCATCTACAACCATTGGAAGACTAACAGGTTTACTTATTTATTTACTTACTAAGGTGCCAACTGCCAAGTTATTCACTAGATAAACATCAGAGTTAAATCACAAGCATATTTATTCCTCAGATTTTGTAAGTCACATCAGTAAAAGTCGCACATGACCCTACCTTTTATAAC